CATGGGAGGGGGACATGGATGCACACATGGACCACGACACATAAGCATGGTCCTAAAACCTACAGAAGCACACAAAGACCATTGTGAGACATATATGCAAACCAGAAATTAAATATTAGGAGCCAAGAGAAAAAACACTAACGGGTGAAGTTTTCAGATCCTTTTGGCTCTAGCTCAGTGGTTCTCAGCCTTCCTAATGCAGATATCCTTTCAGGCAGTTCCTCACGTTGTGGTGACCCCCAACCATAAAATTATTTTTGTTGCTAATTCATAACTGTATTTTGCTACTATTATGAATCATAATGTAAGTATCTGATATGCAGAACAGTCTTAGGCAACTCCTATACAAGGGTTGCTCTGGGATGTCTTTCTGTATGCTGTGAATATATGTTGTTCCCATTGGTTAATAAATAAGCTGCTTTGGCCTATGGCAAGGCAGCTTAGAGGCAGGCAGGAAATCCAAGGAGAAAGACAGGAAAGAGAAAAGCAGAGTCCAGGGAGACGCCAGCACCACCAGGAGAAGCAAAATGTGAAAATACTGGTAAGCCACGGCCACATGGCAGCTTACAGATTAATAGAAATGGGTCAAATTATAAGAGCTAGCTAGCAAGAAGCCTGACCCGTAGGCCAGGCAGTTTGTAAATAATGTAAGCCTCTGTGTGTTTACTTAGGGTCAAGCAGCTGTGGGAGGCAGGTGGGGGAGGTTCATCCCGACTGCAGGGCTGAGCAGGACGGGGGAAAAAACTTATGGCTACAAAGGGTCATTGGACCCCAAAGGGGTCGTAACCCACAGGTTGAGATCACTGCTCTAGATGATTCCACATGGTGCTGTGTGGGTAAGGAGAGAGTGGAAGCCATGGTTTCAACAAAGCTTTAGTGTTCCTGGGTTTGTGGTGTATGGTGCAGGGAGGTTATAAGTCCTTGGACCCCGCACTCCATCTTGGCTTTTCCGGTTCTTCAGATCTGGTGTATGTAAGAACATCACTTCACTTGCAGTTACCAAATACTTTTTGAAGCTTTTCTTTTTTTTTCTTTGCTGTTTTAATCCACAGGTAATTGGATGGAGCTAGGCATGGTACACACCTGTAGTCCCAGCACACCGTGCTGAGGAGGAGGGGCTGTATGTAGGACAGGAGTTCAAGGTCATTCTCTGCTACATATGAAGTTTTGGAACAGCATGGGCTATATCAGACTGTGTCAGAAAACAATTTAAAAAATGTGTATCTTTATGAGATACAGTGTGATGTTCTAGTACATGTATATACTGTGCATTGACCAACTCGGGGTCAATTGCAAACATTTATCATCGTGGGATCGGATTTGAAGTCCTCTCCTTTATTTTTATTGTATGACACAGTATTGTTGATTATAACCACCAGGACTTATTTCTTCTACTGTGCAGGGTAGAGATGCTATTATCTCTCAATTCAGTGTTTTAGTTGCTTATGTGAGTATTTTTCCCACCAGCAATGGACACGGACACATGTGTGTTAGAATACTAAGGACTAGCCGGGGTAGAGTGCTTGCCCAGCACACAAGGTTGTAGGTTCCACCCCAGCACTGCAGACAATAGAAAAGAAAGAATATTAGGGACAGTAGAGATGGTGGGGTGGTGACCCCATTTCCTTGTAGCTCAAGAACTTGTGTTTTCAGGAAATGGACTAACCCAGTGACTAAACATTTAACATTACACACACTCCAGATCTCTGTCTTGCCTTGTGAGAATCAAGCCAAAGCAGGGTAAGGACGAACATATTACAACAGAACTAAATCCCTGTAGCTCTCGTACGTAAAACACCTCTAGGTCTTGGGTGTAGCTGGAAGCCCCGCAGACCCGTGTTTCTCCATCCCACCTGGCCCGGCAGCCCCAAAGCCACTTACAAAATAATCACTCAGAAGCTTAGTGTTAATTGCAAATTCTATGGCCTGTGGCCCAGGCTTCTCGCTAGCTAGCTCTTCCAACTTAACCCATCCTGCTGCTCCATATGTGGCCATGTGGCCATGGCGTTACGGGTCTGCTGGCATCTTGCTGCTCCCTGGATGGCAGTTTGGCATCTCTCCTTACTGTCCTCTTACTCTCTCCCTTGGATGTTCTCGCCTGGCTCCATCCTGCCCTGCCATAGGCCAATGCAGCTTCATTTATCAACCAATCAGAGTAACACATATTCACAGCACACAGAAAGACATCCCACAACACTTGGGCTCATTCCTCACACTCTGAGTTTCCCCATTGTTCATGACTATCCTCTGAGCCAAGCAACCAGCATCTTTGGGAGTTCAGCTGTTGCTGGCTTGCAAGATCATCCCAGCTGGACTTGTTGACTGTTGACATCTCCCATAGAAGGAGGGATGGGAGGCTCACAGGACCCTCACCTGAGTATCCAGCCACTCCATACCACATATTGCATGCAGTTCTGCCGTGATTGCTTATGGCCTCAGGGCAGGGCTAGAGTGTATGGGCTGGTGGGGGTTGGGGGAGGGTGCCTTCATTTATGCATCTCTGGGAAAGCAATGATTCCTGCTGGGTAAAGACTCCCCAGTGTGGCCTTAGGTGGGGAACTCCCTGTATGTAACCCCTTATCTGTGCTCTTTAAGTAAGCCCAATAAACTGATTCCCTGGGAAAGAAATTGGACACAATACTCTCTGGATTTGTCCTTGGGACCTTAGACATTGTTCACATTTTCCTCAGGAAAGGAGTTTTGGTTACCACATCCCAAACTTCCAAATAGCAAGACCTGCGATGCTTTCTCTGACTTCCCTGGGTTTTTGTGTCCACGGCCTCACCCATGGCCATCTTCCTTTGCTTCTACATGTCTTTGGTCCTGGCTCTGGGTAGTTCTGTCCCTCAGAAACTCAGAAAACTTAAATTTTCCTCCTACATGACCCTCAACTTGTCTTACCATCTTATGAAAGGCCTTTGTCTGCTAGAATGGGCACATCATAAGGGAAAGTCTTTACGTTTCTAATGTCCCGCTCTGCCACCATTGCTAGGCACTCATCTGAGGCATTCCCCACCCCACGAAGAGGGACTTGCAAGCAGATGAGCCCACAGTCAGGACTCCCTCTCAGGCTAGTAATGCTAGAATACCTAAGATGACCTCATAAAGCAGAGAACCCTTTCCAGCATCCCTCTCCTGCCTCTTAGAATCCAGGTGCCCAAGGAAATCCTTAGGCAGAGGTTTTGGGTTAGATGATAAAAGCAAGGGATGAAAACAGAAAATCTGGGAGATGTCTCACCAGTTTTACCACAGCCCCGTAAGAGTTGTGTCTAGCTCACTGTTTGGTACTGCGTCAGAGGCATTGTATGCAAGAATCAAGAAAATTAAGTAAGTATCCTTTACCTCTATGGTCAGAAAATGTGTGAAGGGAAGCATGGGGACGGGCGGGGCACCTGAACGCTCCTAGCTGCTTCCACAGGTACTTGTCTGCATCCCAAGAGAGAAAAGCATCTCAGACACGCTGGTTTCTCTGGAGGGTGAGGTTGGCACATTTGCTGGTCACTTGGAGTCTGAATTTGATTCTGCTGTTTATTAAAGTATTAGATGATTTGAAGGCCCTTTTCCCCTTTATTTTGCTACAGGACTTATTTCAAATCATATAATAAAAATTACATATTTTGTTATAGGTTATAAGGTATATAGTCTGTAGCAGGCTTTCTCGGACTGCCAGCCTCCAAATCACGACACGGAGACTTGTTATTAGTTATGAATGCTCGGCCTTAGATTATGTTTGTCCCGTCAGCTCTTATAACTTAGTTTAACGCGTTTCTCTTTATCTATGTTTTGCCTCCAGGCTTTTTACCTTTCTTTCATTCTGTATGTCCTACTCTGTGTCTGTCTGTCTGGTGGCTGGCTGGCCCCAGTCTCCCTCATTCTTTCCTCCTTTTCCCCTGGAGCCTAGATTCCTCCTCCTCATTCTCTCTGCCCGCCAGCCCTGCTATCCCTCTCCTGCCTAGCTATTGGCCATTCAGCTTTTTATTAGGCCAATCAGGTGCCTTAGGCCGGCAAGGCAACACATCTTTACATCATTAAACAAATGCAGCATAAACAAATGTAACACATCTTTACATTGTTAAAGTATTCCATAACATTTCCCCCTTTTTGTCTAAATAAAAGGGAGGTTTTAACTTTAACATAGTAAGACTATATATAATACGAAAAATTATCAGGTAAGAATTACATTTACAATATCCAGTCCATTTGTATTTGGCAAATTCAGAGAAAACACTCCATTATTTATCCTATCTTGATGAGTCCAAAGTTTTGTACCTAATTTACCTTCTATCGTAACTAAAGAATACTCTAACTAGCTAGTCTTCAACTACATCAAAGACCCCATAAGGATATTATATTGCCTGAGTAAACAGGAAGTGCAATATAAGCCACTTCCAAAACTATAGAAATGACAGAGACATCTGGCTGCCTGGACAGTCACCCAAATTTCCTCTGCAACATTGGGGCATCCATCATCACCTTACAGGCCTAGAATGTCTGGCAGACTTTTCTATGAAGCAGGGATTTTGGAGGACTGTCCTGCCTTGTTTTTGCAAAGTTTGGCAGTCTTTTTCCTTTGTGCTCTGCTGGTCCAGTTTGGATGGTATACTGTCAGCAGTTGAGGCAAGGACAATTTCTTGTCCAAATGCTAGCTTTGTCACATTGAAAGCAAACTCTATATGAAGGTTTCTTGATGTCTGTCATGCCTTTTTGAAGTAGATTGTTTCTACCAGAAGCAGACATGCCTCAATGTCATGAAAAGCCCCATCTTATTGAACATCTTAAATACCATATTCTGTAGGTCTTTGAAGTGTTTGATGATCACCTATGTAACTAAAATGTATGTGTTTAAACTTGAAAACATACCTACTATGACTATAAGATTGACTATTGTAGATGACTAACTACTAATCTGCATTTCCTAATTATACATTACATTTTTAAATGAGCTGCATAAGCACAATACCCCAAATAAGAGTAGAGTAGAAACATACATATAGTATAACAAAAATAACTTTAAATTTGTATAAATATACCCAGTCCATACCCCCCAATGTAAAATATTTGAGGTTAGTAGTTGTCTTTTTTTTTTCTTCGAGACAGGGTTTCTCTGTGTAGTTTTGGTGCCTGTCCTGGATCTTGCTCTGTAGACCAGGCTGGCCTTGAACTCACAGAGATCCACCTCTGGCTCTGCCTCCTGAGTGCTGGGATCAAAGGCATGTACCACTGCCACCTGGCAATAGTTGTCTTTTTATCCCATATTCCTATATCCCCCTCCCCTAAACAATGGCAAGCATCCATAACCCACCAAATGAACAAAAAACCACCCACCTCACATCTTGGGAATGTGGGCATTGTGTTCTTTAGACTGCTTCCTGTTTTCTAGGGTGAGGCATCTTTAGGGGATCCTGAGAAAATTGAGATAATGGTGAAGTTCTGGAAAAACTAGTTGTAACATTTGCTGTCCAGTCTCAGGACTGTTGTCATGCAGAGGGATCAGTATATATGTCACCTGTCTTGTAGTTTTTCTTGGTTTATTTCTGTATGTCTGTAGCCAAGATTTTCAGGAGGTCTCCCCCAAATCAAACCTGATCTCCATTAATCTTGAAAGAATCCACAGCCTTTCATTTCCTGTGGAAACAAAAGCTAACCTCTTTCCCAGTTCAATACATTTTCTGAATTCCATTTTAGAGTTAAGGCACCCCTGAAGTGTCTAGGCTGGTTTAATTCAGCAGTCCCTTGTACAATCCCATGTCTCTCAGCAGTGTCTGTTCACTCATCAGCAATCAAAAGATTCAAAGTCAACACCGTACAGCATTCAGACTGCCTGCGTGTTTTCCATCTTTATGTGGCTTTCCCCTTATATTACTTTACTTTCTCTTTAAAGACTTTATTATTTTATACTTTATTTTTTCCTATGACTGTCTATGCCATTTTCTTTCTTAAGCCTATGTGTATTTTTAAACACACTGTAACCTGTTTTTTTTCTCCCCAATCTGGACCTGTCTTTCTTGCATGTCTCTAGCTTTTTCTGACCATGTGAGCCAAACCTTAAACTGCTAAGTGGCTTTGGACTGGCAGCTGGCTCTGGCCCACTCAGGTCCATGAGAGCCAAGTTTTATGACCCTTGAGCCTGGCTGAGAGCTGTGTCTAACTGGGGGCTGCGCTCAACCACCCCACTCTAGGTAGCTCATGACTGCACTGTGGCCGGTGTTTTTACTTGAAGTGCCAGCTACTCGAGTGCTCGCTGTATGGCAGAGCTTCTTAAAGGAGCCATGTCCATTTATTTTATTCCCAGTGTTCTCAGGTCCCATGTGGAAATTTGGACCCCATGTGGGAATGCCGAATGCAGCAGACTTTCTTTTAGGCCACCAGACAACTTCCAAAACATGACATGGAGACTTATTAATTATGAATGCTCTGCCTTGTCTTATGCCTGTCCCACTGGCTCTTTTAACTTAAATTAACCTGTTTCTCCTCATCTACATTTTACCTCAGGGCTTTTTACCTTTCTTTCACTATGTATGTCCTACTCATTGCCTGGCTGACTGGCTCTGGGCATCTCCCTCTTTTTCTCCTTTGTTCTCTTTCTCTTCCTCCTACTTATTCTCTCTCCCTCTCTCCTCTCTCTTTCACCTAGATTCCTCCTCCTAATTATTCTCTGTGCCCAGCCCCACCTACCCCTCTCCTGCCTAACTATTGGCTGTTCAGCTTTTTATTAGACCAATCAGGTGCCTTAGGCAGGCAAGGTTAACCAGCAACACGTTTTTACATAATTAAATGCAGCATAAACAAATGTAACACATCTTTACATTGTTAAAGTAATATTCCACAACAATAGTCTGATTTTTTGTTTTGTTTTCCGTGTGTGTGTGTGTGTGTGTGTGTGTGTGTGTGTGTGTGTATGTGTGTGTGTTATGTGTCAGTATGTGTGTGTGTGTGTTATGTGAGTGTCAGTATGTGTGTGTGTGCACCATCTGCATGTGTGGTGCCCACCGAGGCCAGAGGAGCTTCAGCTCCGCAGGTGCTTTGGGTCTTAAGATAAAGGCCTCACTATGTTGTAGGTTCAAGCTATCTTCCTGCCTTAGCCCCTGAGTAGGCTTGGGGTCACATGTGCAGACTGTCACAGTTGAATTCTCTCTCTCTCTCTCTTTCTCTCTCTCTCTCTCTCTCTGTGTATTTACCTGTAAGAAAATGTATTTATTTGTTACAGATAGTAGGAAAAATATACTACTCTTTAAGAAAACCTTTAAAGCATCAATAAATGTAAATAAATAGAAAAAAAGAATGCCTGTGGTCTCACTGCTTGTTGCCGGCTTACAGCGGACACTGTCAGTGTGTTACCATCTTACAGCGGACGCTGTCAGTGTGTTACCGTCTTATCGCAGACGCTGTCAGTGTGTTACCGTCTTACAGCGGACGCTGTCAGTGTGTTACCATCTTACAGCGGACGCTGTCAGTGTGTTACCATCTTACAGCAACACTGTCAGTATGTTACCATCTTACAGCGGACGCTGTCAGTGTGTTACCATCTTACTGTGGACGCTGTCAGTGTGTTACCATCTTACAGCGGACGCTGTCAGTATGTTGCCATCTTACAGCAGACATTGTCAGTGTGTTACCATCTTACAGCGGATACTCTTACCATCTTACAGCGGACGCTGTCAGTATGTTACCATCTTACTGCGGACGCTGTCAGTATGTTACCATCTTACAGCGGATACTGTTACCATCTTACAGTGCACACTGTCAGTGTGTTACCATCTTACAGCGGACACTGTCAGTATGTTACTATTGCTCTTGGTGAATCTCCCACTTATTTGTATGTGGACGAAATCTTTTTGAGATGAGTATGATTCCATCTTGTTTTGTTTTCCTGCTTTGTTCTCCACCAAATCATAATCATTTTTCTAAGCCATGAGAAGATGCGTAGATACACTTTAGGATCAGTATTTCATGGTATGATACTCCATAGTTTACTTAACCAATCTTTTAAAATTAAAAAAACTATGTGTGTGTTTATATGTGTAGGGCATGTACATGCCCTGACATCTTTGGGGAGGTTGGAAGACAACTTTTGGTATCTACCATGTGGGTGCTGGGGGTTGAGCTCAAGTCGCTGGGCTTGGCAGTAAGTGCCTTTGTCTCCTGAACCATCTCACTAGCCTGTAACCAGTCCTTTCGGTTAGGTTTTAAAATTGTTTTCAAGTACTCATCACTATAAATAATCCTGGGATAAACGTGATGAACTAAGTCACTGTGTACATTTCCGGTGTATTCTTTTAGGGTAGGGTCTGCAGGAGAGGACATGAACAGTTCTTTCATTGTTGTTGTTTCGTTTTGTTTTTTAAATCAAATGTAGATTTCCCTGTTCCTTAAGAAGAATGTCCTATCACAGTCCATTTTTTCAGGCATGAAATATTATCACATGAAAGTTTTGACTAATTTTATAAGCAAAAATCTACAAAGGTATTACTTTGTATCATCCTGATACCATTTGTACTGTCATGATTGGATGTGTTTCCCTTTTCTCTTAGGGTGTTTGACTTTTTATCATAGACTTGCGTGTGTGTGTGTGTGTGTGTGTGTGT